GCACTGATCAGCAGTGTATCTGTTATCTCTGCTCTGTGGATGAACATAAAGGCCACGACACAGTGTCAGCTGCAGCAGAAAGGACTGAGAGGCAGAGAGAGCTGGAGGGGAGTCGACAAAACATCCAGCAGAGAATCCAGGACACAGAGAAAGATGTGAAGCTGCTCCAACAGGAGGTGGAGGCTATCAGTCGCTCTGCTGATAAAGCAGTGGAGCACAGTGAGAAGATCTTCACTGAGCTGATCCGTCTCATGGAGAAAAGACGCTCTGATGTGAAGCAGCAGCTCAGATGGCAGCAGGAAACTGAAGTGAGTCGAGTCAAAGAGCTTCAGGAGAAGCTGGAGCAGGAGATCACTGAGCTGAAGAGGAAAGACGCTGAGCTGAAGCAGCTCTCACACACAGAGGATCACAAGCAGTTTCTACACAACTACCCCTCACTGTCAGCACTCAGTGAAGCCACACACTCATCCAGCATCAACATCCGTCCTCGCCGCTACTTTGAGGACGTGACAGCGGCTGTGTCAGGAGTCAGAGATAAACTACAGGACGCTCTGAGGGACACATGGACAAACGTCTCACTGACAGTGACTGAAGTGGATGTTTTACTGCCACAACCAGAGCCCAAGACCAGAGCTGAGTTCTTCAGATATTCACGTCACATCACACTGGATCCAAACACAGCAAACACATTGCTGTTATTATCTGAGGGGAACAGGAAAGTGACATTCATGAGACAACACCAGTCTTATTCTAAACACCCAGACAGATTCACTGACTGGTGTCAGGTCCTGAGTAGAGAGAGTCTGACTGGACGTTGTTACTGGGAGGTGGAGTGGAGAGGGGGAGGAGGAGTTTCTGTAGCAGTCACATACAAGAATATCAGCAGAGCAGGGGGTGAATGTGAATTTGGACACAATTACAAATCTTGGATGTTATATTGTTACAATAACAGTTATAACTTTTATCACAACAAAGTCCAAACTCCTGTCTCAGGTCCTCGGTCCTCCAGAGTAGGAGTGTACCTGGATCACAGTGCAGGTATTCTGTCCTTCTACAGCGTCTCTGAAACCATGACTCTCCTCCACAGAGTCCAGACCACATTCACTCAGCCTCTCTATGCTGGACTTTGTCTTTATTGTCCTGGATCCACTGCAGAGTTGTGTGAACTGAAATAGTCAGAAGTCATTTAAGGGTTAAACTCTGTCTTTAGTCTCCATGTTTGTTGCTGACAGCTGATTGTTGTGGCGTTTCTTCACTGCACTGAGATCAGCTGTCAGTCAAACATTGTGGGCGGGACTTTGACATCTTCTCCTGAGTTGTTGTGTAAATGTTTGAGTTTCTTTAGGTGCACTCTAAAATATGATTCATGGGGTCAGTGGGTAACGCTTCAAATACACAAGTTTGTCAGCAGAAACAAATGAAGTTGGGGCTCTGTAAAGATCAGAGCAAAGAAAATTGTTTTCCTGTTTTCTGATCCTATTAATCACCACATGGTTTATTCAGTTCATGAAATGAGTCTTTGCTTTGTTAGAAAACAAGAACAAACTAAATTCCCATAAGAAATGACGTTGATTTATTTTTTACTTTTCTCCAGTGTGTGCTTTTTGTGTTAAAGCTCCAGTGTGTAGGATTTTGGGGGATATATTGTCAGAAATTGAATATTATATAAGAAGTGTGTTTTCTTTAGTGTTCAATCACCTGAAAATAAGAATCGTTGTGTTTTGTTTAATCTTCTCAGTTTAGTGCAGCTACACTGTGCCACATGGATCTAATAACTTGGGTATGACATCATGTGTGATGTCAGCAGACTGTACGATGACAGCGCCGACTGAATCACAGGCTACGATGTAACAGCTTCACATACTGAGTGATGCTGCAGGGTTATTACTGCTCCAACTGGGAAGCTACACACAGAGGGACACATTAATACAATTACTAATATCATTGATGAAATTAATACCACAGTGTTGTGAACATGTTGATAAAATGTCTACAGAATGTTTTTAATAATATGTCTGAAAAAATGTTTGAAAATTATGAATAAAATGTAAAAAAGAAGAAAGAGTCTGAAAATATGTTGATAACATGTTAGAAAAAAGGTGACAAAATGTCTGAAAATTATTTAAAAAGTAAGTTTGTTTCATTAACGTGTTTTAGTCAGCTGACAACTTATTTTGAGAAGTTCAAAAACAGTTTTGACATTTTTGAGTAAGATGGAATTAAAATAAATAAGTTAGAACATCTTGAATAAAATAGTTTGAGCGTTAAATATCAACATAACCTTTGGATAAATATTAAGTTGGTTCAACTTGAGTATTTTGAGGTCAAAGCAAATGATGTTGGTTCAACTAAAGTGAGTCTGTCAGATGATAAAAGACTCAGAGTATTTACTCTGTAAGAGCAGAGCTGCAACTGTTTAAAAAGATGGATGCAAACTGTTGCCTTGAATTGTTTTAAGTTGAAGCAGTGGATTCTTTTTCAGAGTGTGGCGCTTCTTTCTGTCCAGTCAAGTCAAACTTTATTTGTAGAGCACATTTAAAAAACAGCAGCAGTCGACCAAAGTGCTGAACAGTCCTAAAATACAAACAACAGATAAAAACAGAAGGAAACAACAATAAGAAGAGAAGAGAAAAGAAACAGAGCAAACTGCAGCACAACAGAGGATGAAATCAACTGAAGTTGTCAGGCTGGAATCAATCGTACGCCAACGAGAAGAGGCAGGTCTTCAGTAGCCATTTAAAGGTTTCTGTAGTCGCAGCAGTTTTTATCTGAACAGCTGAGCTGAGGCTCCATCGCCACTGTTTATGTGTGTACTTCAGGGAACATCCAGGATCATGTGATGGGTCGACCTCAGAGCTCTAACTGGAGTATGAAGATACAGTAGTTCTGCTAGATAAGGTTGACCGTTTCAAAGCTTCAAAACCAGCAGTAACATCTTAAAATCAATCCTAAAACGGACAGGAAGCCAGTGGAGGGAGGCCCACACTGGGCTCATGGGATCCCCTTTTCTTTCTCCAGTTAGAAGACTAGCGGCTGCGTTTTGTAATAAGCGCAGACGACGAGGTGACGACTGAGCTCCGCCCACACACAAAGAATCACAGCAGAGAGGTCATAAAAGCATCAAGAACTCTGTGGAGATCTTTGGTACAGAGACAGGCCTTTACCTCAGCTACAAATCTGAAGTGGAAAAAGCTGGTTTGACAGCTGAACTGATGAGTTGATCACATTTAAAGGAGCCGTCAAAAATCACAGCGAGATGTTGAACAAAAAGTTGACAGTGAGACGTTAAAGGAGAAAGAAAAGCAGCAGAGTCGTCCAACAGATGGGCTCGTCCAAACAAAACAATCTGTCTCATTGTCATCAAGACTGAGGACGTTTCAGTTCATCCCAATATTCCTGTGTGTGTTCAGCCATGGAGGCTCTCACTGCTCATGATGACGGTTGTTGAGATGAAGTGACATTTCTCTGCATGAAAATAACGTCAGCTTCTCTGGGCTCTAAACGTCTCATCACTCTTTGGATCCATGTGTTTGTATGTTGTTGTTTGTGAAGACAGAACGCCGCAGAGCTCCTTTATCCTCCACACTTTGTTCTCTGTGGAAACAAATCACACTATTTGTTTGGCAGAGCAGATGTTGTTGTTATTGATGATCCTGATCAGAATCAATCAGCAGATGATTGATTCTTTTCTTGTACACAGCTGAGATTCTTGTGTGCATGAAGTGAATGTGAACATGAAATCATTGAACAGACTTTACTGATGGGATGTGTGAACAAACTGAAGCTTTACATGATGAACAAACAAACATGGACAAAGTCTTTTCTTCCTGTCTTCATTCCAGGGTCTCAAACAAAGCTGATGGAGAAAATGTGACACTGATCTGAGAGCATAACTGACGCACTTTTCCTCCTCAGACACCACAAAGTCCAGTGTTGATGTTTGGAGCAGAAGAGCGTTTGTCAGTCGCTCTCTGTCCTTTAACTTTCCTCACTCAAACAGCGTGGTCACACACACATGACACCAGTTTGCTGTCGCCAACACTTTGTTTAGTCACTAATATTGCAGGGAAGTATGAAGGTCAGGAGCAGAGGGAGCTTTGATGAAGCAATCAGTGAGTTAGGTTGGTCTACATTTTGCCAACAAGTCAGATTAAAGGAAAAAGACAGCGTCAGGTTCAGTGGTAACTTTAAAGATTTGGACTCTGACACACAAGAGTTTGACTGTTAAATATTTGTCTGAAAGCAGCACAAGAAAAGTGACGTGGCTCCAGGTTTCAAAGGGTTAAAAGAAAACAGTCAGACAAGTCAACTCCAGATGCACCAAACGTTCTTAACCATCCAGATGTGCTCTGACCCAGGTGTGCTGAGTGACCATCAGTCACCTGTTAGCACAGGTAACGTCCCCTCAACACTATATAAGGACAGCTGTGGTGCCGTGTGCAAAGACTGTGACACATGAAGCAGGAAACTGGAGCGATGCCACCAAACAAAGGCTGTAAGAAGAAGAAGAAGTTGAGCAGCAGTGAAATCAACGTACGGTTAAATCAAAGGAAACAAAGTGAACATGTGATGTTCCAGTGTCAGTACTGCTGTTACAGGAAAATCAAAAACCAGCAGTGACAAACAAGAACCTGATCAGTACCTGTGCTGCAGTATCACACTGTGGTATTTGTCCTGTGTAAGAACGTGTTGCCGTCTGAAGCTGTGAATAAATGCAGGTTTGTTTCAGGCCCATTGAAACTGGAATGTTTTGTCACAGATGTTTCACAGTGGATCATTAAATATGAGAGAAAATGATTCAACAGTAACTCAGCTCTTTGATGACACTTTAGTTTGATCACTTCCTGTCGTCACTCAGCTGCTTTTAACCAGGAAAAGAAAAGTGAACAGGCAACATAGCGGTGACGTCACAGAGCTGACAGGCTTCATTCACTGCCTGATCACATGATGTTTAGATCAGAGCTCAAACTACTTTCACTTCTCATTTAGTGAGACTCACACAGTCACTGCCACGAGGTGAAATGGCGCAGCGAGGAGTTGAGCTGGACCGAGAAACCTTGTCTTGTTCCATCTGTCTGGATCTACTGAAGGATCCGGGGACTCTTCCCTGTGGACACAGCTACTGCATCAACTGTATTCAAAGCTTCTGGGATGGAGAGGATGAGAAGAGAATCTACAGCTGCCCTCAGTGTAGGCAGAGCTTCACACCGAGGCCTGTCCTGAGGAAAAACACCATGTTAGCAGATTTAGTGGAGAAACTGAAGAAGACTGGACTCCAAGCTGCTCCTGCTGATCACTGCTATGCTGGAGCTGAAGATGTGGCCTGTGATGTCTGCACTGGGAGGAAACTGAAAGCCTTCAAGTCCTGTCTGCAGTGTGTGGCCTCTTACTGTGAGAAACACCTCCAGCCTCATCGTGACTCGGCTCCATTACAGAAACACAAGCTGGTGGAGCCCTCCAAGAAGCTGCAGGAGAACATCTGCTCTCGTCATGATGAGGTGATGAAGATGTTCTGCCGCACTGATCAGCAGTGTATCTGTTATCTCTGCTCTGTGGATGAACATAAAGGCCACGACACAGTGTCAGCTGCAGCAGAAAGGACTGAGAGGCAGAGAGAGCTGGAGGGGAGTCGACAAAACATCCAGCAGAGAATCCAGGACACAGAGAAAGATGTGAAGCTGCTCCAACAGGAGGTGGAGGCTATCAGTCGCTCTGCTGATAAAGCAGTGGAGCACAGTGAGAAGATCTTCACTGAGCTGATCCGTCTCATGGAGAAAAGACGCTCTGATGTGAAGCAGCAGCTCAGATGGCAGCAGGAAACTCAAGTGAGTCGAGTCAAAGAGCTTCAGGAGAAGCTGGAGCAGGAGATCACTGAGCTGAAGAGGAAAGACGCTGAGCTGGAGCAGCTCTCACACACAGAGGATCACAACCAGTTTCTACACAACTACCCCTCACTGTCAGCACTCAGTGAAGCCACACACTCATCCAGCATCAACATCCGTCCTCGCCGCTACTTTGAGGACGTGACAGCGGCTGTGTCAGGAGTCAGAGATAAACTACAGGACGCTCTGAGGGACACATGGACAAACGTCTCACTGACAGGGACTGAAGTGGATGTTTTACTGCCACAACCAGAGCCCAAGACCAGAGCTGAGTTCTTCAGATATTCACGTCACATCACACTGGATCCAAACACAGCAAACACACTGCTGTTATTATCTGAGGGGAACAGGAAGGTGACATTCATGAGTGAACAACAGTCTTATTCTAAACACCCAGACAGATTCACTGAGAGGTGTCAGGTCCTGAGTAGAGAGAGTCTGACTGGACGTTGTTACTGGGAGGTGGAGTGGAGTGGGAGAGGAAGAGTTTCTGTAGCAGTCACATACAAGAATATCAGCAGAGCAGGGGGTGAATGTGAATTTGGACGAAATGACAAATCTTGGTCGTTATGTTGTAACAATAACAGTTATAACTTTTATCACAACAAAGTCCAAACTCCCGTCTCAGGTCCTCGGTCCTCCAGAGTAGGAGTGTACCTGGATCACAGTGCAGGTATTCTGTCCTTCTACAGCGTCTCTGAAACCATGACTCTCCTCCACAGAGTCCAGACCACATTCACTCAGCCTCTCTATGCTGGACTTGGTTATTCTGTATTATTATTTGGTTTTCCTGGATCCACTGCAGAGTTGTGTGAACTGAAATAGTCAGAAGTCATTTAAGGGTTAAACTCTGTCTTTAGTCTCCATGTTTGTTGCTGACAGCTGATTGTTGTGGCGTTTCTTCACTGCACTGAGATCAGCTGTCAGTCAAACATTGTGGGCGGGACTTTGACATCTTCTCCTGAGTTGTTGTGTAAATGTTTGAGTTTCTTTAGGTGCACTCTAAAATATGATTCATGGGGTCAGTGGGTAACGCTTCAAATACACAAGTTTGTCAGCAGAAACAAATGAAGTTGGGGCTCTGTAAAGATCAGAGCAAAGAAAATTGTTTTCCTGTTTTCTGATCCTATTAATCACCACATGGTTTATTCAGTTCATGAAATGAGTCTTTGCTTTGTTAGAAAACAAGAACAAACTAAATTCCCATAAGAAATGACGTTGATTTATTTTTTACTTTTCTCCAGTGTGTGCTTTTTGTGTTAAAGCTCCAGTGTGTAGGATTTTGGGGGATATATTGTCAGAAATTGAATATTATATAAGAAGTGTGTTTTCTTTAGTGTTCAATCACCTGAAAATAAGAATCGTTGTGTTTTGTTTAATCTTCTCAGTTTAGTGCAGCTACACTGTGCCACATGGATCTAATAACTTGGGTATGACATCATGTGTGATGTCAGCAGACTGTACGATGACAGCGCCGACTGAATCACAGGCTACGATGTAACAGCTTCACATACTGAGTGATGCTGCAGGGTTATTACTGCTCCAACTGGGAAGCTACACACAGAGGGACACATTAATACAATTACTAATATATTATGATGCCTTCAAGCTCTACTCAGTAAAAAGGAGAACGAGGCAGAGGTAAATTACAACATTCTCATGATATGTTCAGTGTAATCTTGTAAAATACAGCTTTTGATGAGAAACTTGAATAAATCAGCTGTTTAAAGGAGAAATGTGTTGTTTTTACAGCTACATAAACAGGATGTTACAGAGGGCGTTATGATCGATTGTTTGTGGTAAAAAAAAGTTTTGAAGCAGTTTAAAGAAAAGATGTTTTTTAGGTATTGAATTTGTTTTTAAAGGTCGTGAAATGAAGGACTGTTTTTACTTTTCAACAGTTCAGTTATTTTTTTCCTACAGTGTAGATTTCTTTGTTTACCTGGAACAAGGGGGGGGATAAACACCAAAAACAAAATAAACAACATATAAACAAACATGGCTATCGGCCCAGAATTTTGAAATCGGCGCATTCTGAGTTATTATCTACACAGGCAGCAGGTCCTCGTCCATGGAGAACACCACGTTGCACCACCTTGTTTTTACAGTAGCCCAGAACTAACAAACTAAACACTGACTTTAGATCTGGACATCGTGATTTCACGTCGGCCAGTGTGGTTAGCAGCTCCTCTGTGACAAAGAGCATCGGAAGAACTCACATATTTTTAAAAGTGAAACGTCTTCAGAGTTTTTCCTGGTTTAAATCAGCTGGTGTGTTTGTTTCTGAGAGGAAGAGACCTCTGAGGATAATTCAGCCCCTCAACAATGAACACTGGAGGAATTCTGACCAGGAGAAGTTTCAGATGGTTGTAATCTGTAATCTGTAATCTGTAATCTGTAATCCTCACTGATAGACGACACTGAATGTGACACACTGGACCGTCAAATTCTTTAGTTGTACATTTTCACGCCTCTCAACAAAAGGTCACAGTGACCTGACGGCAAATTCTTATCAGTTCATTAAGTCTGAAGCCTCGTCTCCACCAAACCCTTTCAGTCCAGCACCTTTGGAACCAGCAGTAAGCCTTCAGACATGGTACCTAGACCCTCGGTGTGTTCAGACAGTCCTCTTAAATGTGGGCGGGGTTGTTGTCACTCACTGCTCCGTCCAGCACTCGCTGTATTTCCTCATCAGCGGTGACACAGATGGAAGTCTGCACCTGGTTTATCGTCCACAGAACGAGGCTGCACGCCCACATTTTCACAACAAAATAGAACAGGCTGCAGTGAGAGTCTCTCTCCATGGGATATTTAAAAATAGCAGCTTTGTGCATTTAGTCCTTCTCAGGCAAGCTCAGGGGTTTAGTGTTGCTGTAGCCCACAGGAAGTGAGGATTAGAATATATGACCTTCACATAATCCGCTCCAAATTAATCTATATTTTTAAAGTCATTACTAAAAGTGTGTGTCATATAAAAACTAAAGTGATGGTCAAAGTTGTCACAGTGAAATTTAAGGTGTGCTGATGGATTCACGTCATCAACTCATGCATTGAGTAACATTACAAGTTAACGTTCCACCTTAAAAGTTGCCGGCAGTCGGCCCAGTGAATGAAGTTATTTTTTTCTCTTTCATTTTATAGTTGTAGTTTACTGATGTATGAACAGAGGTTACATAAAACCAGAGTGAGCGTCCTCTACTGACCAATCAGACTGCAGGGTTTCTAGCTCCACCTTTTAGTACCAGATCTGTGTGCTAGGTACCCCAACAGAGGGGGGACCAAACATGGGGACGCTAAGGAACGCTTCTGTTGGGACCATCCACAACTTTCACTGTGGAGACAGAAACAATGCCAAACTGAACTGAACTGAACTGAACTGAACTGAACTGAACTGAAGTGCTCGGTGGAAACGGGGCTTATGTGAACGTTTGTGCCAAATTATAAGAAATTCCCTGAAGGCGCTCTTGAGAATGAGACAGACATACAGGCGTATGGACACAAGAAACCTAACGCCTCCGGCCACGGCTATCGCAGACGCAGAGCCATAGAAAATAAATATGAATAAACTAAATAAGTGAAAAGTGAATAATGAGCAGACGTCAGACGGGAGGAGGGTGTAAAATGTTGAGATGCTCTTTTTAATTGTCAGACTGTGTTTGAACAGTTCTCTGCCTCCTCACAGCTCAACCTGCCACACACACACACACACACACACACACACACACACACACACACACACACACACACCAAGGTCCTGGACAAACACATTTAAAGTTACACTGTGTAGTTTTAAGAAGAAAGTTCTCTTTAACAAGTTCCTATTAGAGAATTATTGATTTATTGATTTATTAGAATTCATCTGTGTTTGATATCAAAGTGTTAAAGTCAAAATGTTCTTCCTAAAAACCACACAGAGCCGCAGGAAGTGGGTGTTTGTAGTTTTTGGTGACTGAATGAAGCTCCTCGTTCTCTCGTGCAGGAATTATTCAGTGATGGGAAAAAAACAAAAAACTTCCTTTTAGTCCTTCGAGTTAGAAATGATTCAAATCAACTCTTCCTCTTCTTCTTCTTCTTCACACACAAACATGTCCAACCTGAAACACAGACAGGAAGTGAAACATCAATCATGTGGGACATCTTAGTAGTTTTTTCTTTTTCCAGACATTTAATTAACTTTTTTTTTTTTAATAATAAATCTGAACATTTTAATACCATTTTTGGACATTTCATTCCATTCATTCACACAGCAGGTATTTAGGAAACAGTGTTAACAGCTGCATTAATGTCTTCCCAGTATGACCTCATATATTTATCATAGTTATTTTCTATCAGATTATATTAATAAACATTTACTGTATCTGAGTGTCATGGCTGCTCCTCGTTTCCAGCGCTGGGCGTTCGGTTGCGGATTTGACTCCTCAGCTGTTCGATGAGTTCGGGGTTCTGCTGCTGCATCTGCTGAGCAAACTGCTGACCTCTGCAACACAAACAGCACCAACGCATCAACCTCACAACTCGTTATGTATCGTTCTACAGGCCGACATGAGCAGAGGGCCGTTTAATTGGTCCTCTGTCCTTGTCCCAGTATACAAGCACAGGAGGGGGTGAATTAACACCTTATCATCACTGCATGTTCAGACACAAAGAGATTTGTTTTCTCTCATAAAAGAAAACTGTGTCATTCACTCAACACGCTCACATACCGACACATTTGGGGCAGAGAGTTCAGATTGTGTTTGGCTGTGGGGCAAAAATTGTTCCTCAATCTGGAGCTGCAGCATTTCAGGGCCCTGTAGCGTCTTCCAGGGGGCAGCAGTGTGAACAGCTGGTGAAAGGGGTGAGTGCTCTTTTTAACGGTCCTGCAGGCTCTGCTGTGGCAGCGAGACCTGTAGATGTCTTCCAGAGGGGGCCGGGGGGGGGGTCCAATAATTCTTGTGCTGTGTTGACCGCCCTCTGGAGAGCCGTCCTGCCTGCAGCTGAACAGTCCCCACACCAGGCCGTGACGCAGTACGTCAAGATGCTCTTCACTGAGCTGTAGAAAGACTCAAGTCATTTTGCAGAGCGGTTGGTCCTCCTCAGCGTCCTGAGGAAGTCTGGTCTCTGTTGGGCCTTTTTCACCACAGCAGTGTTTATAGTCCACTTGAGGTCCTCGCTGATGTGGGTTCCCAGGAATCTAAAACTAGGGACCCTCGAGGGTGGATCTGATGTGCCACAGGACTCGTCTGTTATTGAGCCAAGTATGTGCGACTCCTCTACGATAGGTGGAGATATGCCCCCTTTCAGCTTGTTAGTATTGGACCTTTTTCCTGTTGACCTATTACGTCACAGACCAAACAATGGACAAACAAGTTAGCTACGGTTAGCTAGCAGCTAACTGCTACCATGGTGGACAACTTTACAGCTCTGTACATTTGGTGCGTCCAAAAAGTCACGGCTCTGGATGTAGATTTCTCCATGTTGTTACCGGCTTCTTCTTCTCTTACACATTTAATGCTATTGGACTTCCGGGTCAAAGCCCGGGGCGGAAACTGTGGAGCATGCTCAGAGCGCCTCGGCCAGTTTGGGTCTGATTGACTGTATACATGCGGGAGTCACATGATCTGGGTGTGTTAGTCCCACTGTAACACATTCACTGCAGGACCATTTCACTCACACTGACATGTTCACAGGGGTTTTAATAAATCCATTTTCTCTGTCGTCATGGAAACAGACTGAATGTTGCTTCAAAAAAGGCGAGAGAGGAAATCTGGCAGAAAATGATTGTGTGAATGCACAAGTTCATATATTTATCATGCCTCTCTGTTTATTTCTAACGTGACAGCTGCTCACTGTGCAGCTCTGAAACTTAAAACCTGACGCAGCAGATTTAAACTCAACAACAGCATTAAGTTTACCGACACTGCCCCATGATGGCAGAGACGGGGAAATCACTTTAGTTTTTGGACAAATCAAAGTGAAATGAATTTTATTGAATATTATCTGTGATAAACACCAGTGTTCTCACCAATATTCTAATCGTGGTTCTATGAGCTGAACTTTACCAGCAGTTTGAAACAGACTTCAGCACGTCACAGTCAATCATAATGTTATGGTACCATTACAATGATACTGCAGCAGTACTCCTGATTAATTTAGTGAAGTATATCTGTGTAATGCTACCTGGGACCAGAGAACACTACAAACACTTTCAGTCATTCAGTAAAGCGGGATTTATACTACTGTGTTGAGCTGACCCTGTTCCTACAGTGACGGCTCTGCTTAGACGTGTCCCCTACACGCAACAACACGTCACAGTGACGCAGACCTCCTGTCTGTCTCTGTAAGCTGAAACCATTTCCCTCAGTGGAAACAAAGCTTTGATTTACTTTAATTTCACAGATAAGAAACAATAAATTGTGAAGACAATAAAGCCTCCACACACTGTGTGTGATTTATCCTGGCTGAAATATGAGCAGAGGAAATATCTGCTAGCTGCTAGGCTCATTTATACAATGTAAAATGCCATAGGCTTGTGCTAATAATGTTAGCATGTTGTATTTGTGGGGAAAATGTGTCCAGATAAAGACAAGTGTTTGTCTGTGAATGCTGCGAGTTATAGTGAAGCTGATTTGAGTACTGTGTTTGATGTTAATAAGCCATGACTCGTGTTTTTAATCAGTCAAACTTCACAGCACTTCAGAAACCCCACTGCTGAGTGACGATTTGGAGGCGCAACAAAATAAAATTTCCCGA